TGTGTGTGTGTGTGTGTGTGTGTTCGCAGTGTATTCAGTGTAAAGTGTTCAGACAGTCTGTTTCAGTACATGGGAATTTACCTGAGTTAAAGGGAAAGTACTCCTTTTTGGGGGCATCCTCCTCCCCCGTATTATCGAAAGTGAGAAAAGAGTTTGGTGGCACCACAGGGAGCTCTGAAGCCTGAATTATATCCTCAAATGTACCGAGTCGGTGCTGAAATGTGAAAATGAATCTAAGAAGTGAACCTACCCCAACTCTGAAGCCTTCATCGCAGCCTGAGCCCAGAGGCTCAAAGCTTGTTAGGTGATAATAATCGACCCTGTTTCCAGTCTACTAGTTTGGATCAGACCCATCATCTCTACCTTCTACAGTGCTTTCTTTTTCTTTTTTTAACACAAGCACTCCAAAAACTATCGAGGTGTTTTGGCCTCTCCAGCTTTTTATCTACACTACTTATGTGTCGCTTGTCTTTAAGCTAAGTTTCTAAAAACTCAACAAGCATTTGGACCTGGAAATGATGCCAGACTCAGTGAGCAGATTAGGATAAAACACCCAAATCTGTGACTCCCAGCATATATACCACAAGACAAAATCAGAGCACTAAAGAAAGCTGAATAAAGCACAAAACGCTCTTTTATGTCCAGGATCCTGTTTTGTGTATCGCTGTAAATAAGTGAATAAACATTTTAATTAAGAGCACAAGCCTTTTAATATGTCGGTCAGTGCATCCGGACATGAATCTTTCTAACAAACGTGCAGGCCTGCCAAGGATTTCTTTCATGGCCAGACAGTGGGATGGTCTCATCTGGCTGAGTCAGTAATCTGCCCTCAATTCAACTGATTATTAATTTTACTGCTAAAAACCAGAGTCAAGGCAAAAACGCCCGAGCAGTGTGTCTGCTGTGGTTGGTTTGGCACCATCACTGTGAGTCACAGACTTCATATAGTCACTGAAACGAGTGGCTGAGGCACACGTGACGAATCGAACGTGTCATTTAAATTTCATAATTCATCTCAGTGTTTTATTATTAATTGATCAGCTTTGCTGACCTATAAACGAATGGTTGTGGGTCTGAAACCTCCAGACAGCCGAGGCTTATCTGGGTTTCCTTTTCCGTCTGACTCTGCTGGTGCTCCACCTTCCTGCCACAGACTGTAGTTCAGATTAATTAGTGCCTCTAAATTGGCAGAGGTGTGAATAGTTGTCTGTCTCCATGTGTCACTTGTGTGACGGCCTGGCAGCTTGGACGTGCCCCGTCTCTCGCTCGGTGGTAGATGGGAAAGGCTCCAGCCACGTCGGATGAAAAGCAGGCGGAGATAGTGAGTGATGGATGGATGTCTGCTTAAGTTTGGCTTAAGGGAAATAAGAGCCATGAACAAAATCTCACCATGAAGCTGAATGTCTCCACCTTACTCCTACACCTGTTCTACAGCAAACAAGCAACATATACCAACACTTCCTTTACTTTAGTGAATGAAAACACACT